GCTTTTAAAAGGAAAAAGAAGAGGCTTTTAAAACAGTGATTGGCATCACTCACAACAGAAACAAAATTATAAATTATCCAGCAATTAACCTAAGGTAGCAAGTAGAAATGTTAAATTCTTAAGTGTTCAAATGTGAGGCTTTACAATGAGTATAAACTATTTTTGAAGTACCTGTGGCTTTTAAAAAACAGAAAATCTAAATCTCTAGGTAAGTATATTTATCTTTTGTCCAGTTCTAACATTTATATCACAATTTTAGAATTCACTAGAATGCATTGTGAATCTTGGAATCATGTTTATTATCTGATAAATGCTTTTCTTTACTCCTGTGAGACTTCTGGATTAGAAGCAATACTTCAATGGAAACATGAAACCACTGACCCAGTGTTGGGTCTGGAGTTTTACTTTGCCCTGAAGTCATCATGTTTCTGCTGTGGAATTATAGCCAATAACTTGGAACCTTCATGTCTCATGATTCTTCAAGTCATTTTATTATGGCAGGAGTCCCTGATAAATTCCAAGTCCTTATTTTCAGTAATAATGCCCATGAGAGAATATCTGTTTCCTGAAAGAAACAGCACTGATATTTTGAACTGTCCCCAAACCAGTATGATAGCTTGATCTGTGTAAGCAGATAAGTTATAGGCCAGTCATTTTAGTGTTCCTTTTCTATGTATATATGTAACATATTGTATGTCAACATAGTGTAAGAATTGAAAATGTAAGTCATTTCTTCTCCTGGGCTTTTAGACTGGGGGAGCAAAAAGGAGATTGGGGCTGGACTTTTGTTGGCAATACCCATTTGTCTGGAGGTCAGGTTCTCTGCCCTCCTCCCTCCCACCCCATAATGATTCTCAAGCTTGTGGACATAAGAATCACCAGGAAATCTTGTTAAAATTTTAGATATGTAGGTAGTACCAGCAGAGATTTCTTATTTGTCAAGTCTTGAGGGAGACCAGGAATCTATAGTTTAGCAGGCATACCAGGTGATTCTGATTCTGGTTAATGGTGGCTGCATGGCCCAGAGCTGGCCCAGGAACAATTAAATCCTTTTGTTGGAGCTACAAATGAGGAAATGTTCATGGGCTCAAGATATGGACTGGCCTTCTATTTCTCGACCATATTAGTCAACAGAATAACTCTAAGTAAGAGACTTAATAGGCATCAAAATAGATATCTTAGGATTTCTATTATCTGTTACAATCTTTTTCAGGTGAACTTTGATTTTAATGACGCCACATTTTTTTTAAACAGTTCAGGTGTCATTTTCTTCTGTTACTTCAATAAAGCTTTGAATATATAATACATATTGAGTTTTAATCCTTTGGTCAGCACACCATTTCCAAATTAAATTAATACATGCAAACAGAGAGGTGATGGATTAGTAGAAAAGACAAAATTTTCATTTTTTAAAGATATGATGATATACACAGAAAAGCTAATAGAATTAACAACTTACCAAACTAGTTAAGAGGATGCAACAAGGTTGTCAGATGTAAGATCATTTTAACAATTCTCTAAGCTTCTTCTCCACTATTAACATCTAGACATCATTCACAACAGAAACAAAATTATAAATTATCAAGCAATTAACCTAAGGTAGCAAGTAGTAATCCTTCCCAGAGAAAATTTCAAAAACTCTATTAAAAGACATAAAAGAAGACCTGAATAATTGCAGAGATAATATATGCTGAATGGGGGCAACTTAGCAGAGTAAAGATTTCATATCAGTCTATGAACTACTATGAACAACATCAATAACAACAATATAATTGGTATGAACAACAATAAAACAACAATAAAAATTCAAAGTGCTTTTATGAAATTAAAAAAATCAATACTAAAATTCATATGAAGTGAAAAGTCCAAGAATAACAAAGTCAAGTTTGAAGAGAAAGGAGAGCTTCATTCTACCTAATACTAAGCAATACTACAGTTTTATAGTAAAAAAATTAAAATAGTATTTATATAGTATTAACAGAGAATCAAACTAAGAGACCAATTAATGGGATATAGAGCTCAGAAATATACTCATGTATATTTGGAAACCTGTTATAAGATAAAGCCATCACCAGAAAGCAAGGGGAAAGAAGAGGCTTTTAAAATAGTGGTTGGCAAACTATGGCCTATAAGCTACCTGATTTTTTAAGGCTTTTGAGCTAGAATGGTTTTTCTATTTTTAAATCACTGAAAAAAACATAAATTACACCTGAGTCAAGGAAAAAGTCTTAAGAGAAATTTTAAAACATTTTGAACTAAATGAAAATGAAAATATGCCTTATCAGAAATTGTGAGATGCAGCAAAAGCAGTGCCTAGAGAGAAATTTATAGTTTTGAGCTCATATATTAGAAAAGAAGATCTAAAATTAACATCCAATCTTTCCTTTTTAGGAAACTAGAAAAAGAAGAGCAAATTAAATCCAGAATAAGCAGAAGAAAAGAAATAATAAAATCAGAATAGAAATCAATGAAATTGAAAACAGGAAATCAGTAGAGAAAATAAATGAAAGTAAAAGCTGGTTCTTTCAAAACATCAATAAAATTGATAAGGCTATAGCCAGGCTCACTAAGAAAAAAGAAGATTCAGATTACTAATATCTGAAATGAAAGAGAAAGCATCACTACAGATCCCATGGGCATTAAAGGGAAAATAAAGGAATATCATGAACTCTATGCTCACAATTTTGAAAACCTGAATGAAATAGACCAGCTCCTTCAAGGACACAATTGCCAAAATTTGCACAAGAAATCACATCAGCAATCTAATTGGCCCATATCAATTAAGGAAATTGAATCAATAATTAATAACCTTCCAAAACTGAAAGTACCCATCCCAGATGGGTTCACTGGTGAATTCTACAATAAATTTAAGGGAAAATTACACTAATTCTCTACAATCTCTGCCAGAAGATTGAAACAGATGGAATACTTCCTAACTCATTTTTTGAAGCCAGTAGTATCTTAATACCAAAACCAGACAAAGACATTACAAGAAAAAAAAACTAGAGACCAATATCTCTCATGAACATAAATGCAAAATCCTCAACAAAAATATTAGTAGATTGAATCCAACAATGTATAAAAAGAATTATATAACATAATGAAGTGGAATTTGTTCCCAGGCTGGTTCAGTATTCAAAAATCAATTAATATAATCCATCACATCAAAAAGCTAAGAAAACAAAATCACAGTCATGTCAATACATGCAGAAAAAGCATTTGACAAACCTAGTACCCATTCAGTGTAAAATAACTATCAGCAAACTAGGAATAGAGGTGAACATCCTCTACTTGATAAAAAAAACATCTACAAAAAAAACCTACATCTAACATCATACTTAATGGAGAAAAACTAGGAGCTTTCTCACTAAGATCAACAACAAGGCAAGGATGTACTCTCTCATCACTCATTTTCAACATCATACTGGAAGTCCTAGCTAATGCAGTAAGGCAAGAAAAGGAAATAAAAGGTATACACACTGAGAGGGAAAAAATAAAACAGAATTGGTTTGCAGATGACATCATTGTCTATGCAGAAAATCTGAAAGAATGGATAAAAAATTGGAACTAATAAGTGATTACAACAAGGTTGTAGTGAAATAGGTGTTAGTGGGACACAGGCAGATAGAGCTCAAGGCCCCAGTAAAGCACAGGCAGGAGGGAGCTGGGGTCAAGGCTTTGCAGTTAACAAGGAACCACATCCTGGACATCTGGAAAGTGCAGCCTGAGAAACAAGAGAGTTTTCCAGCCCATCTCAGCCCTACCAATAAGACCCCACCAATCATGTAAATTTGACTCCCTGATTTCCAGATGCTTTAAGCCCGTAGACATTGCAGTCCTAATGGCAGTCGTCTTTGAAGCCCCTCCCAATTTGTGGGAGTCCTTTTCTTTTCATTCCTCATTACAAACTTTGCTGGTTGCTCTGTACTCTTGTCTGCTGATTTCATTCTTCATTGCCTCGGAAACATGATCCTGGGAAGAATAGTAACTTCTCCATTGGTAACAGTAGGATACAAGGTTAATATATAAAAGTCAATTGCTTTCTTACATGGCAACAATAAAATGTCAGAATTTTACATTAAAAACACAGTACCATTTACATTAGTACTCCCCCAAATTAAATACTTAGTTATAAAGCTAACAAAATATGTACAAGATCTATATTAGGAAACCTATAATCCTTGTGAGAAAAATCAAAGAACTATATGACTGGGGAAATATTCCATGTTGATAGATAAGAAGACTCAGTATTGACTTGATATCAGTTCTTCCTAACTTGATCTATAGATTCAACACAATCTCAGTAAATTCCTAGCAATTATTTTGTGGATATCCACAAACTGATTTTAAAGGTTATACAAAGAGGAAAAAGATGCAGAATAGCCAATATGATATCAAAGAACAAAGTTGGAATATTGATACTACCTTACATCAAGACTTACTTTAAAGCCACAGTAGTTAAGAAAGTGTGATACTGGTGAAAGAATAGACAAATAGGGCAATGGAACAGAATAAAAAGCCCAGAAATAGAGCCACACAGATGTAGTCAACTGATCTTTGACAAGAAGCAAAGGCAATTCAATAGAGAAAAGATAGTCTTTTCAACAAATGGTGCTAGAACAACTGGACATTTATGTGCAAAAACATACAGCTAGACAACAGAACAGATCTAACACCTTTCACAAAAATTAACTCAAAATGGATCATGGATGTAAATATAAATTCAAAACAATAGAACTCCAATAGATAACATAGGAGAAAATCAAGATGACCTTGGTTATGATAACAACTTTTTAGATACACCAAAAGCACAACACATGAAAGAAAGAACTGACAAGATGGACATCATTAACATAAGAACTTTTGCTCTGTAAAAAACGCTGTCAAGAGAATGACAAGACAAGCCACAAACTAGGAAAAAATGTTTGCAAAAGATACCTGATGAAGGATGATTATACAAAATATACGAAGAACCCTTTAAAGTCAACAATAAAAACAACCTGATTTAAAAATGGTCAAAGACCTAAGAAGGCACCTCACTAAAGAATATACACAGATATCAAACATATGAAAAATAGTTCAACATTATATGTTATCAGAGAATCACAAATTAAATAAACAATGAGTTACCATCACACACTTACTAGAATAGCCAAAATCCAAAACACTGACAGCACCAGGTGCAGGTGAAGATATGGAGCAACAATAACTCTCATTTTGCTGGTGAGGATGTAGAACAACAGTAACTCTCATTTGTTTCTGATTAGGAATGCAAAATGATACAGCCACTTCAGAAAAGGATTGGGCAGTTTGTAAACAAAACAATACTCTTACAGTACAATCCAGCAGTCATGCTCCTTGGTATTTACCCAAGTGAGTTGAAAAAGTTATGTCCACAGAAAAACCTGCAATGGGATGTTTCTAGCAGCTTTTATCATAATTGCCAAAACTTGGCAGCAATCAGATGTCCTCCTTCAGTAGATGAATGGATAAATACACTGTGGTATATCCAGAGAGCACTAAAAAGAATTGAGTTATCAAGCAAGGAAAAGAGAGCAGTTTTAAGAGCGTATTACTAAGTGAAAGAAGTCAATCTGAAAAGGCTGCATACTATGTGAATCCCACTGATGACATTCTTGAAAAGTTAAAACTATAGAGAGGGTGAAAAGATCAATGGTTGTCAGGGTTTGGGGTATGGGGAGAAATGAAAGGTAGAAAACAGTGGATTATAAGGGCAGGGTCTTAGTCCTTTTGGACTGCTATAACAGGATATATAAACTGAGTGGCCTATAAATAACAGAATGTATTTCTCACAGTTCACAAGAAGTGAGTAGATTTGGTGCCGGATAAGAGCTCCTTTTCAGGTTCATAGACAGCTGTCTTTTTGCTGTGTCCTCACATTGTGGAAGGGAGCAAGGGGGCTCTCCAGGACCTCTTTCATAGAGACACTAATCCATTAATAAGGGCTCAATCCCCATCACCTAGTCATTTACCAAAGGCTCCACCTCCAAATACCATCACTGGATTTTAGGATTTCACATAAGAATTTTGCAGAGGACACAAGCATTCAGTCTGTAGCAGGTAGTAAAGTTACTCTATATGAAACAATAATGGTGGATACATGGCATTATACATTTGTCAAAACCCAGAGACTGTACGACAATAAGAGTATGCCCTAATGTAAAGTATGGACTTGATGGATGACGTGTCAGGTTCATTGACTGGAACAAATGTACCAGTCGTGTGGGATGGTGATAGTAGAGAAGGTTGTGCAAATGTGGGGGCAGGGAGATATGAGAACTCTCTGTGCTTTCTGTTCAATTTTGTTATGAACCTACAATGGCTTTAAAAAATAAAGTCTATCCTTAAGAAACTGAAATAAGAATAATATGTCATGATGTGAAATACAACCACTCTCTTTTTTTTACATATTATCTGTGGCTGCCTTTGCACTACAACTGCAGAGGTGAGCAGTTGCAACAAAGACAGTACAGCCCCAAAGCCTAAAATATGTATTATCTAGCCCTTTATAGACAGGGCTTGCCAACCCCTGATTCATAAGACAGTTTGTTGAAAACTGACTTAGGTATGTAGAAAAATTGAGCTGCCTTCCTGTCTCCTACCATATGTAAATTTGAAGTAAAATGGACTTTGATATGAAGGATAACAATAAAATACATAAAATGCAGAAGAGTATTTGTGACCTAGGGGTAGAGAAAGTCTTAAGGTTACAAAAGCATGAGATCGAAATTATGAACTATCATTCAAGGAAGAACACCATGGACAAAGTTAAGGGACTGGTGTAGACTGGAAGAAGATATTTATAATGTATGAACCTGGCAAGGGATTGACATCTAGCCTATACAAAGACTATCTGCACAACAACAAAAACTAGGATGTCAACAGTTAAATTAATAAAAGGCACCATTTTTTTCTCCTATTTTATTCATTCTTCCTGCATATAAACTTCACACTGAATATTGTTCTTGTCTGCCTATCCTAGATAAATGTTGCATTTTTTGCTATTGACCTGTCTTACCATTCTCTAAACTACTTAAAAAAAATTGCCTCCAGCATTGTACATCAGTGAAGCTTTCATATGGAGGCAACCTGCTAGACAAATTCAAGACCATTGGCCTGTAAATGTAAAATTCCATGTTATAGTACAGATTGAGCAGAAGATTCTTGGGTCATTTGGTTACTGGTCATTATAAATTTGAGTCAGATGAACAGAACAGAACACAGATGTTTGAATGGAACAAAGTATAGCACAAAACAATATGAGAATACATCCAAGTGAGAAATAAGCCAAGATTTTTACCATAAACGGTGGCTTTTTGAAAGTGGAAAAGTTCAATATCTATTGTGAATGAATTTACTAATTTAGAATATTTAAATCTTCCAAGCTTCTTCTCTTCACTGAAGGGGCACTTTTGATGAAAGGGGTTCTAAAATAAGGCATTTTGCCTAATAGCCTATTGGAAGTGGCTTTCAAAAAGGGTTAGTTCTGTATGCTTTTTTATACTTAGGTTATAGAAAAATATATATATGGTTCTGTCCAAGCTACCTGGAGATGCATATTAATTACCTGGCAGAATATTCTCTGCCCTAGCTAAACCCATAGGCCTTTTAAACACTTGCTGAACATCGTAGTTCTGGAACTCGAGACTTTCTCTGCTGCTAACACATGAAAAGTAGACACAGGTCTCCTGGAAAAGAGGCTGTCGGCTGGGTCCAAACTGCCAGGTTGGTTGAGCATGGCATTCTGGCAGGTGACTGCGACCCTCATTTCTGCGACATGTTTGGTCTCCCACAGGCGTCCTCCTTTCGTGCACCGGGAGAGAAGAGCAACCAGGAGCTTGGGTTTGAGGAGTCCCGCAGCTCGGGTCCTGTGCCATCCCTCTGTCCCCGCTCTGGGCAACGAGGACACTCACTGACCGCGCAGGAGGATTACCCAGCTTCTCGACGCCAGCGAAAGGCCACTCGTTTTTCCTTTCCTCGTGCTCCCGAACTCTTTTAACGTCTCCGAAACACGATCCTTGTCACAGGGTTTTGTGATCATGCACTTTTAGAAGAGAAACGCGCCGAAAGAAACGAACTTGTCAGAATGAACTCCTCAGTTCAATGTGAAGCCCTAGAGGGAAAGGGCCGCGTGTCTCTTATCCCGGGGTCCATAGGACCCAGTCTTCCGTTTGCACCGAGTCAGGTACGCATCAAAATAGAAACGACTAAGAGACGGACAAAAGAATGGATGGAGAAAACAAGGGAAGAGTGGAAAATCACGGAAAGAGTGAACTTTGAAAGGCAGGCGCCACAGAGGGCGAGGAGTCCGCGGCCCGGCCGCTCGGGGGCGGTGTGAAGGGCCCGCGGGCTGCACCCGTGTCCGCCGCCCGGTTCCCTTTGGAAGGCGCTTCCCCCCAGCCCTACCTCCTGGCAGACACCCAGGAGGCGGAGCAGCCGGCCCCAGCGCCCGTGGGCACCCTGGGCGCCAGCGCGGGGGCCTCCGGCCGGCTCCCGCGGCCGCGGCAGGTGCAGCCGTCGCACCCGCGGCCTCCTGCTCCTGCCGCTCGAGGCCGCACCGTGCCTCGCGGCGTGGAGGCGCTGGACCTGCCGGAGTGGAACGGAGCCTCAGGACGGTCCTGCGGGCCTCGCCGCAGGTCAGTATCCCAGGGGCGCTGGGCTCAGCCTTCCGGGTGTGCCAGGGGACCCCTCCATTCCCGGCTCCCTCCCCGGGCGGCTTTCCTTCCCGGGGCTTCTCGCGTCCGCACCTCCGCGCCGTCTCCCCCGCCCCCGCCTGGCTCCGGCGCGCTGCCGCCCGCCTCCCGGGCTTCTAGAGGCCAGCTCTCTTCCACGTGGAAAATTCCGTAGGGCACCAAGTTGAGAAGCTGTCCGCCGGCCACCCGGCTAGCCCAGCCAGGGCTGGAAGGGACGGCGCGCGCCGGAGGTGCTGACTCTGGGGCGGGACTGGAGCGCTGGCTCCGCGCAGGTTCCCTCCCGGCGCGCGCAGACCAGCCTGGCAGACCCCTGGCCATGCCGCCCGGGCAGTGGCCGCCCACCCGCTCTGGGGCCGGGGTGGGAGTGCACGCGGCGGCTGGCGGGAAGGGCGCTTCTAGAAGGGAGCTGCAGGGAGGCCGTCCCGGTGACGCCAAAGTGCGTGTGATCTGAACCGTTTTTCCTGCTGCGAATTCTGAAAGCCATGGGAAGTTTTGAGGGCCGATGCCTGACACTGCAGTCTTACCACCTTCCGCAGGCCTGGAAGCCAGAGAGGGGATCAGGTGTTTGCAAGTTCGCCGTCAGGTGAGGCGCCCAAGCTGTATCTTTCAGGATGTCAGACTCTGGAGAAATCCTCTAGTGGATGGCTCTACTGTCTGGTCTAAACTAGAGCAGAATCCCTGGTGCCTTGGGAATGCTTATATGAACTGCTTGCAGTTGGTTAACTAAGGCTGGGCTGCCTACCGTAACAAACTCGCCTTTTCCTCAGGTAGGAGGGTGGTTGTGTGGTTAACCCCAGTTCCTCTGCCGTTATGAAAATGCGCACAGTTCAGCCTGATGGCGCTGCCGAGGGCGCAGCTGAGCCGGATTGGTGAGTACGAACACGCTTTGGCTCCCCCTTCCCTGCTCGCAAAACAAATAACAGTCGTGGACGCTTAAACTTCCTTAAAATAGTATAGACACTTTCCGGCCTTTACTGCATGGCGTTCTCACTATTATAAATGGACGTAATGCTATCATGGAAAGCCAGAATTCCAGAGGAAAATTTACTTGATCTCTGGTGGCTATCCAGATAAGTATTTAACTAATTCCAAGCAAGTATGGTATGTATTTTTTAGACTTTTGAAAGACCAAATTTGAACTGGAAGACATAACTTTTTGGACAACTAGATACCTGTGAATGTTACAAGGGAATGACTGAGTATAAACCATCTCTTTTAATGTTATGTGTCTATTTCTAATGGGGCAGATGGTTAGAAGTTACACATTTCTTGCATCTACTTAGCTCTAAAAGCACTGTCCTAAAAGATAGCAAGCAAATCCACTCTGGGTCCATTTACTGTCTTCTGCTTAGACTGACAGACAGGCTTGTACTCATCGTGGGTGTGGTGTATAATCTATTTTCTTCTCTTGACTCCAGTATTTTTCTTAGCACATTTCCTTCAGGACTCAAATGGTTTAGTCATATCCAGTAAGTATTGTTAGAAGCGCCTATTCTTGCAGTATAAGACACATGCTTGGATGTTCACATAAATAGCTTTTGAAGGAATTCAGATTTGAAGTGGAAATATATGCCTGCTTGTACGTACCAGTGGGAAACAGCATTGTGGGTCATTGTAAAGTGAGAATGAAGAAGGGGTCAGTAAGAGAAGGGTGGGGGAGGTTTTCTGTGGCTGTTAGGATGTAAATTCTGTTATTTTATGTTGAAGGGATCAAATGCATTCTTCTCCCCAGAGGAATGATGTGGACTTCGCATTTTCAGAAACTGCACAAACTAAGCAGCCCAGGTTTGGGGGAACCCAGAAACTCCTCCTTACTGAATCAGCAGTCTCAAAATTTTAGCTCATCTTCTTCTTCATATTTTAAGATGAGTCAAACTCCCATTGCCCTGAACTTTCCCTTTTCCTTCAGCAAACCTTCCATAAACCAAGTTTTGTGGCCTGGATCCTTGAAAAGCAGGCACATTTCCCATGCTTACCCTGACCATTCCCATGCAGAGGCCACTAGAATAATGCCAATTTTATTTAATCTTATGTACTTAAAAATTGATAAATCCAGATGAATGTTTGAGGAGGCCATGTTCTTTTCTCCCAAAAAACATCAGAAGTATTGTTTATAACAGTGAAATAATACATGTAAAATATCCTAATGAAGCAAGTGGGCAGAGTAGGGGGACACATTTGGAATGGAGTGACAAATACAGAACGGAAAGTCAGGGATGCTCATATCCTCAAGCCAGTGTCACCAATTAGGTCTCTGTTAGTGAAGTGAAACCCAGAATAAGACAATTCTTAAAGCACAGTTGAAAAATGGGTGACTTCTTGTGGCTACAGTTTTCAAAGTTAGTGGCCAAAGAAAACGCTTTTGGCTATGAAAATTAAAAGGGGATCATCCCTAAGGCTGGACTGTTCTCTGGCTGAGGCCTGAGTCTGGGTTCCACATGTCGTTTCTAGAGAATGAAACCACCCTTCACTAAGCTCGTTTCATCAAATGTTACCGATTTCATAAAGAAAGTAATTTTACTTTCAGACTTCATTCTCTGTATCAAACTGCAGTCCTTCCAGGATCACATGTTTAAAGCCATGTTTTGGTTTACTTGTTTGCACTGGCAATCCTCCCGGGGGCTATATCCCTCCTTTCCTCAGCCTCCCTCTAGTTGAGCTTTCTGCTCTGTTTTGAGCTTGGGTCTCAGCCTCCTTTTCCTGGTGTGAAAAGACAGTTTTGGGAGTGTGTTGCCAATATTCTTTCGGGGGGATTGCTTTCTTTCTTCACCTTTGAAGGCTGTATTTTGTTCTCTCTCCTTGATTATGTCTGGTGGTTTCAGCCTAAAACTCTCTCAGGCAATAATTGGTGACTGGTGGGGCTAAAGATTCTGGAAAACTGTCTCAGTGTAATTCCGGAAGACCTGCTATTTAAATGAGGAGCTTTAAAAAAAAATCACATTGCCTATAGGAACTAGAGATAGGGTGAATCTAGGGATTCCCCAGCTGACACTGAGGTGGACTTCTCCAAAAGTAAAGTAAACTCATTCCCTAGTGTGAGAGAAAAATGACTAATTATAACTTTATAATTTCCTTTAACTTTACTTTTCCTTAGGGAGGGTCATCAGCATGACTCTGTTAAATTGGGCATTTATGAGACTATTAGAGAAAGAAAAATGTAAGGAATGCCACAATTCCATTCATTTTCTCCAGCTATCACTACATTTGAAATTATGTACTGCTGAGGAATGGAGTTTTGCTTTATTTATCTCTGACCCAAAGAGCTGATTCTTCAGGATATAGTTTCAAAGGGTGTGTAGGATGTTCAGAACAAGCACTTTTAAAAAGCTCAGCCATAGTTCTGCTTTCCTGCTGACCTGAAGCAGCAAAGTGGTAATGAGTGATGATTTTCTAGGAACTCATGTGACACAGTTGTCTTTAGGGAGATTCCTGAAAACTGTAACACATTCATCTTGTGTGGGTGGCTCTAGTGGAAAACGAAAAGCCCCTACAGTGTTTCTTCTGGGTGCTTCTCAGGATTAGAATGACCATGCCATTCATGTTGTGAGAGCTGTGCTGGGAAGGTAACCAAGGTTTCTTTAATTGGGGCCGAACTACCCCAGAACCTCAGCTCTCTGGACATTTCTTTATCTGTCTCTCTTGTAATTGGGAAATCATTAGAATATCAGTTCATTATAGAAATTGAAGTTAAAAAAAAAAACAGATCCACAATGTGGGAGTTGCTGGGATTGTTCTAAAAAGTTCCATCTGCCACAGAGTCTCGTGACTCAACATGGTCACCCTCCGACCAACATGGTCATTGCTGAGTTTTAGCCTCTGCATTTACTTCCCCCCACTCTCCACCTCCCATTCACCACACACAGATCTGGGGCAGGGAAATACTTGACTACCTGGTACATATCATTAAACTCTTTATTTTTGAAGTAGTTTATTTTAACTCATAATAACTCAAGAATTTACAAGTTAATCACCAAAAATCAAGATATTATGGAAAACCTGAAGAAAATTAAGATTACCTATAATACTATCTCACAGAGATAACCAAGATTTTTTTTTCTGATTTACTTACTTCTAGACTTTTAAAATGTCTGTATTCAGATATAAATAATGGCATTTTTTGAAAAATGAGATCTCAATATATTTATTTTGTAACTTAAAAATTTAACATGTCGTAGACATCTTTAGGTCATTTAGGTCATAGGGTTGCAATGAACATTTCTATAGCCATCTTTTTGACCAGTTTAAACGTTTGTAATATAAATCCATAGAAGTTTGATTTCCACATCAAAGATATTCTCCAATGCCAATGCCCTTCAGAAGTTTATTTTGCCTTCAAAACTTTCTTTCATTATTGATAAATACAATTTCAGATAGATTTGCACCAATCTGACTGTTAATATATTTTTGTTTGTTAAATGTTCACTGGCCTGTTCATATCCTTTGCCTATTTTTATATTGGGCTGCCTTTTTCTTATTAATAATAATTTTGAGCTCTCCACAGGTTTTAGATACTCAATTTTTGTCTGTTTGAAAATATTGTATACATATTTTTCCCAGTCTGTCTTTTAACTTTCTGAAGTCTTAAATTTTTTGTGTTAAGAAATGTAATTTTTATTGTTTTCTTAATTTTCTCATGCTTAGAAAGGCATTTATATTGTATTTTAAAAAATTCTGTATCTTATGCATCAATTTTATTTTTTTTAATGTGTCTAAGTTTTATTTTTGGTTTTGGTTTGAGGGAGGACTCCAGTTTTCTATATCCTCAAGGGATTACAAGTTTTCATAACAATTCATTGAAAAATTCATTCTTTGGAAAGACCTTAGGAATATTAATTGAAACAAAGTAGGATTTCTATCAGCAAACCAAGTAACTAAATTACTTAAAACCTACTAATGTATCTTAAGCAAGAGTTTTCAGTGTATTTTTAATTCAGTTTGTCATT